AAAATTACAGTGTAAACAAAATTTGGGTGACTGCCTACTAAAACAAAATTTTCAACATTCTCCTGAAGATTATAACAAGACCCAGAGGCTACACAATATAACATTTACAACATCCGAAATACAATCCAAAAGTACTGGACATAAAAATATCCAGGAAAGTGTGATTAATTCTCAAGGGAAAAGCAATCAACAGATATCAATCCTGAGGTGGCTCAGATGTTATCAAAATTTGTGGGATGAAGAAAACAGTGCTTAGAGGAAAAAATGTGTAGCTATGCATGTAGGTACATAGCATGTGTAAGCATGCAGAGGGTGGGGACAAAGTCCACGGACTTTGCAATACTTTACTTACAAAACTCTGTCTTACAGACTGTTCCGGAAGGTACATAACAGACTTTTATAAACATGAAAATGTTTGTGTTATGTTCAGAAACAAATTGCAGTTTGATGTATCGATGGAGACCATGAAGAAAGAGCGCAAGGCAGGTCGCAGCCTCTGCCAGAGGACTTTTGCTTTCAGTCTTCAGTGGTTTCTCTTCCCACTTAGATTTTCCACACATAAGCGCATATTATCTTGGTGTTAAATGTATTTTTTGCTACACCTACCTTCTCTTTTATTGTGTTTTAAATACAAATGGAAATTGAGCAAGTAAACTGAGAGTAAAAATGCAGAACCAGCTTATAAATATAAAAGGATTAGTTCAGAAGGACAAATAAAAATAATGAATAAGTGTAAAGGCAGCCAAAGACTTTCTTCTACTACATGAAACAAGATTTCATTATGTCAACCTTGCAAAGTGTTTTTGAACAATAGTACACTTGTCACAAAGAGCAAGTGGAAAATTCTGCACCTTTAAAATCCACACTGAATATAAACTTAGAAGCATACAAGGAATTTATTGAGACTCTGTAGTTCCTAAATGCAAAATCTGTGACAGCGATTAATCTTCACACAGCAGGAATTTGTTTAGTTTGGAGGGCGTTGCTACCAAAATTGGCAGCAAGAGATGAGGCGAAGCAACACAGGTCAATACACTTGTTTGCAGTATCACTGGGTGACTGCCTCTGTAATTTGTTATCCTCAACAATATTGTTCCCCTTGTTTGCAGAGCTCTACAAAATTATTTAAGGGGTACCAGTAGGAAAAGGCATCCACATAGAGAAGGAGGCAACATACAGGTGTTGTGTATGAAATGGAAATAGTTAAACAATAAAGCTGGGGAATTAAATTCCAAAACAAAAGTTGTCTAGCATCAAGCAAAGGTGAGAGACCTGTCTGAGGAGGTAAAGTGGAAGCTCAGTGACACATATCCCAAGCCTGCGGTTCGCTATGGACGGCTCAGGAGATTAAAACATCTGCCAGCTTTCTTAGTGCTGTGACTGTGGGTGTAAAAGTAGCAGAAACGTACATACTCTGAAGAGATAAGAGAAATTATTTTTTTCTAGAGATGACTATTTGTAACAGAAAAATCTTTAGCACGGATAGAATGGATTGTCCTGGAGACAAGTGTCAAAAAGACAACACATTTTTAAAGAATAACAATTCCAGAGTTTCACTCTTTGAAAGATAGGTTGGTTATAACCTTGGTATTAATGGACTGAAATACTATAAACTACCATAAAGCCTACAGTTACATAAAAGCCATAGCTAGGCTATACAAACACACACACATAATTTTTTCATCTATAAAAAACTGATTGCTGTAGGCTGGGAAATGTTTATGTAAACATAAATGCAATAAAGGTGTTAAGTGCAATGAACCATAAAACAAAATTTAACAAGCAAAATTTTATAGATCCCACTAATAAACCTGCCGAATCCTTAAGAGCAAACTCTCCCAAAGATATCTGAATAAGAAGTATGAGAGAGACCCAGGTTCCACGCAACCCACAGACAGTATTTCTGTACCTGATGTAACGCGAAACTGGGGGCGTGCAAGTCAATAGTGGCCAGAGAAGGAATTCGAGATTCTGAAAGATTTTTGTTCTCTCTCCTTATTAACCTGGAATTTCGAGCTAGGTAAAAATAACCATAAACACAGTGAGAAAATCAGACATTTTTGTTAGTTTTTCACATTCTGTATCTGTCCCTCAGGATGTACTTATTGTACCTAAGTCTGTACATATTTACATACTTAAATATGGAAAGTTACTATGAATTTTTACTTTCAAAATTCTATTAGTTTATTTAGTATACATTTTAAATACTGTAAACAAAAGGGCTGAAAAAGTAAAAACATTAAAACATACCGATGCCTTCCAAGGCTCTTAGTTCAGGGAGATGATTATAGTTTAGCTCAGGCAAGCGGACATCCATCTTTGAGTAGTCTCTTCTTTTCTTACTTGCCTGCAGCAGGGTCTTTTCACTAACAACCTAACATCAGAATGGTTAACACAAATGGGTAAGCTTGCCCCTTTTTGTAACTATTATGTTCATATCCATAAATGTATGGAATTGAAAAGCCAAACTAATACAAAATTTCAAGAACATTATTAACATATAAAACAATTTCATCCAATTATTTCAAATCTTTTCCTCATTGAATTTATTAAAATTGCTAACAGGTGGGCAGCTGGGTTGCTATGAGTTTCTCCCTCTCCCTCTGCCAACCTTCAGTGTAAGTCCCGTGAGTAGTAAAGGTTAGAAGGTGGGCATCAATGTCCTGGGCTCTCAGGCCAGCAAGGTCAGGCCTTAGGACACTTGCTGCGCATTTCAGCACACAGTTGCTATTGCCACCTGAGTTTTGAATAGTCAATGACAACAGTCATCTCGTCGTGTATATCACATCTCCTAGCTTGGTTTTTGCCTTCCCAATAATAACCTTGTTACTCTCTTTTCTATAGTTAATTGTCTTTGCCTTACTCGTCAGAGTTAGCAAATGATATTATCTCCCTAGAAATAGTTTATTAAGTAAAAAAATTGTAACTTCAGTTATTTTCCTGATCTTTCTTAGTATTATTACTTCATATTGATAAAGCCTGAAAAAATAATAAAGAGAAGCGTAGTAGCACTTCAGTTCTGCACCTTTGTGAACTTGACATTTTCCCACCCTGCTTCATTTGAGAATCACAGAAACACTATATTCATTTCCACATCTTCAAAACAGATGATACACAGAGAGACTACATGATTTGCCAAAAGAAAAACCACGTATGTATAATGAAATCACACGTACATCCATGTATATACACATACACGTAGGTATACTGAAATATACACACAAAGACATCTAACAGTGTTAAGCCACTGAGGTTCTTGATGCCTCGAGTTTAACATCTGTGCATTCTGTCACTCTGCTTCTCAGAAAGTCTTCAGGAGTCCTATAGTAAGCCTTTAAGTTTCTTTCTTTTGGGTGTTTCTACTTGCTCTTTTAATAGAGTAAGTGCTAAGCCTATTGGTTCAAGTCAGCTACAAAATAAAATAATTAATTTAAAAAAAGCTGTCCACAAGAACAAAAAAAAAAACAAAACAATGACTCCAAACTACTAGATTTATATATGCCAAGAATGACAAGTAAAATACGTAAGAGATATCTATAATAACATGTTTATTCACATCTCAGAATCAGGGCACAAAGCATGAGAAAGGGATATTGATATTCCACCTCCAAGTTGAAGAAAGTTTAGGCTTAGCTCTGCCTCCATTAATTTTCACTAAGGAAAGATTCCAGTGGACCTTTCCCCACTAATCTTTACCTCCTTTCTTGATTGCCTGTTCCAAAGAAGGATAAACAGAAATAAGATCTAAAATTATCAACCAGCGTTGATTATGCAATGCCTAAAAGGCGGCGGATATCGATTCCAGCAAAATGGTATTGAGCCAGCTGTGAAAAGTTTTGCTGATCAAAATAATCTTCCAAAGCAGACCAGGAATGTAAAATGCAAAAATATCCACAAATGAACCAGTAAGGTATATCAAAAAGGAAAGTACTATGGGTACAGAAGTTACAGGTTAAGAACAATTAAAAGAAAAACAAATGTGATGCCTAAATTGTGGTAGATATGAAGAGAAGGCTGTATTTTTCAAATCTGAGGATAATGAGGGAGCTAGAGAAGGGAAATTTGTGAGAAAAATACTCCTTTGGGAATACATCCATACCTTCCCCTCCCTGGCAGAAGAATCCATTCACCACCTTCCTTTAGCAGTTTCAACGCACTACACACTGTTCTAGGTATAGGGCAGAGCAGTGGGGGAAACAAAGAAGCACAAATCCCTTTCATGTAGTGAAGGAGGAAAAAAGCAAATTCTTTGGATTATCTGGGGAAAGAATGCTCTAAAACAGAAGAAACAGCAAGTGTAAATACCCACATGTGGGGGCGTGTTTGGCCATCTTCCAGGAATAACAAGGAAACCAGTGTGGTTGGAATAGAGTGACCAAAAATGAGAGTAGCCAGGGTGGGGCAGAGGGATGGAGGGGACAGGGGTGAGGCAAGGGACTAACGGGCCCTGTAAGCACTTCGGTCTTTACTCAGAGGTGAGAAGCCAATGGAGGGTTTTGAGTGAAAGACCAATAATGATTCAACTAAACTTTAAAAAGAAACATACTAACAGCTATATTGAACATAATAATGCTCTTCTGAACCTTCAAATCTCTGAAGCTTGTATGTGCTTCTGCTACTGCGATCTCACACTAGGTTCTGATTTGTTGATTCTGTACTAGACCATGACCTCCTTGAGAGAAAGACGGACTTATTCATCTCCAGTGTCTTACACATAATAGATAATCAATAAATATTTGTTAAATGAATAAATAGAATACTTCTACCAAAAACCTAGTGTGGGTGAGATGAGACAATTTGTCTTCTCACCTACTCTAAAAAAAGAACTGATTACTAAGCCTTAGATTACAAAAATTTACCATTACTAAAAAATTAAAACAGATGTCATTTTAATAGTAACTTATAGTTAGTCTTATATTTAAACTACTGGACTTAAAAAACTTCATAAAACTTAAACTTTAAGACTTTCACATTTATGATGTTGACAGGCTGAGATAATATCTGCATCACTGAGTTTCCACTTCATGATATGTCTCCAAATAAAATATTCAGTTCTTCACTATCATATTTAATATTAATAAAAATCTAGAAATAATGCTTGCTCTTCTGCCACTGAGAACAGTTCACTTACCGATGTGGTCACATTAATATTATAAATGCCTGATGGAGATTGTTTATTTGGTTTAACAAATGGAATACAATACTTCTTGGCTTTCTCATCCATTCTGTAACAAAAACAACAAAAAATTTATATTAGGACCAGCAGTCATTTTTTTTTCAAGCCCAAAATCAAATGACTCAACACCACAGGATATGCAGTTTAATCAGAATTTAATGCCTAGTCCTAAATGCTCATGGATCTGGTGAAACATTCTGTCCTTTTACCCCTACCCTCATGCCTCCCACCCAGCCTGCAACTCCAATAAACTACCCTCCTTTCAGGAAAAATTCCCAAAAGGAGCTTCTTTGTACTACCAAATGCCCACAGCCACACCAGGCGGCAACAGACCCTCAAAACCAATGATCTCTTTTATTATGACAACCTCCGTTTGTGTTATTAGATAAAATAGCTGTAGATTCTCTTCACTTAAACAATACAAACCTATTTCCTGAGGACTCGGGTAAATTTTTTGATCAAATGCTAATAATTTTCATCACATGGGCCAAGAAGTCGTTTGAAGCAGCAAACTGATGAGAATAAATAGCACCCAGAAGCCTGAGAATAACAATACATGGGACTGACCTGATAAATATTTGCAATTTAAGCAATATTTTGTTCTTATTTTCCTAACTCATACCTGTAACTCTGAACTCCTGGGATAGTCCCCATTCCGGAACTAATAGCAGGAGCCACTGCAGAAAGGTTGTGTGCAAGTGGGGGAATTGCCATGCCTGGATTCCTCGCGTGGTCCACACTGCCATTGCTGCAATCTCGGAGGCTCGTGGAAGGCACTGTTTTGATGTGGCTTGTCACGTTGTTGTGGAGATAGCTGGCATTGGAAGCTCGACTGACTTTTTCAACTTTTTCTCCATCCATTTTTGACCCTTTTATTTTAAACACTTTAGAATCCTTAATTTTGGGATCAGCATTGGACTCCTGACCATTAATAAAAATGTTAGTAATATTAATAATCTGAGGAGAATGAAAAATCACCTCTCCCTATAAAGTACTCGTCAACTAAAGCAGAATATCAGAGATACCACCTTTTTGTGCCCCTGTTTTTCTTATTCTAGCCCTGGAATTAAAATAAAGCCCAGGATTCTTGGTTAGACATCTTATTTTGAATGAAAATGCAATTCATACTAGCCCTAAGATATGTACATTAGATTTAATGATATATACACATAGCAAATTTATATATATTACAGTGGGAAAAAAATGGAAGAGGACTCAAGCATGCTCGCTTTTGTTCTCATATATTTAGAGTCAGGGAACCACAAAATTCAGGGCTCTTTCTTCTTCGGGAAAAATGGGAGTGGGCTGGTGGTTGATTTGAATTATCTTACCAAGAACAGATTCTGGATAGCTTACCAACAAAAGTAAACTTCAAACAAATTAAATACCCAAATCTCAATTTTATTTTTTTTTGAGGGGGATGGTAATTAGGTTCACTTATTTATTTACTTATTTTTTAGAGGAGATACTGGGGATTGAATCCAGGACCTTGTGCATGCGAGGCATGTAGTCTGCCACTTGAGCTATAGCCTCTTTCCTCAAATTTCAATTTTTAAATGCTCTACTTTATATAAAATTCTAAAGATGATATTTTCCCTCCTATCATTTAAGGAAAAAAAATGGCATGTGTGTGTATTGTGTCCATGTGTTTGCATACGGGTGTGCACACGCATGTCTAAATGTTCTTGGATAGTGCAGTTTCCTGAAAAGCCCTCTTCCAGAGGCTGGTGCACAGGCTGGTACACAGTAGGCACTCAGTGCCTATAGAGAAAATACATTTTTAAAACTAAGCTAAAAGTTAACTTGTTAACCACTCAGGAAACTTTTAAAATTTTCATTATTCGCCCCCCACCCAAATTTAAGGATATATTACATTTAAAATTTAATATGCATTAAAACATGGAAATTTACCTGTACCACAAGTGTTTTTCTCTCTTCACCTAAGGAATCATCTTTTTCCTTTTCCTTTTTTCTGCTTTGGGATTTTTTAGATAAAGAGATGTTTCTGGCATCTTTCTGTACTTTAAACTGTAGTTCCTGAGAAAACCTACATAAAAAGACATTTGTCAATAAAGTAAGATTGTATGAGACAGATAAATCAAGAAAAAATCAGTTTTCAAGATACTTAATTTTTTAATTGAGTATTAAACTAGACTATGTTATTTAAAATAAGAAATGAGGTCGTCTGCAGACCCCTGGGGATCCTTGAGAAACTTTCAGGAGGTTCACGAGGTCAAAGCTCTTTTTATCTTAATACAAAGATGACTTCTTTTTTGCCATGCTAACATTTGTGCTGATGGTATAAAAAGCAATGGTGGGTAAAGCTGCAGGGGCTGAAGAAGCTGCAAGAACTGAAGCAATGGCACCAAACTTTGCTAGCAGTTTTTGTATTCTTCATAGCCACACACCCTCAGTTTAAGAAAAAAAAAGACAGGTTCATTTAAGAATGTCCCTGATGAAGAAGCAAAGAAAAAAGTATTTGTTTTATTAAATCTAAACCCTTGAACATACCTTTTTTTTACATTCTGTGTGACAAAATGGGAATATGTATTTTAAAAAAAAGACAGTTTCATTTAAGAATGTCCCTGATGAAGCAGTAAAGCAAAAAGTATTTATTTTATTAAATCTAAACCCTTGAACACATCTTTTTTTCACATTCTGTGTGACAAAATGAGAATATGTATAAAGCACTTCTGCTACGAATCAAAGTGCAATGGCTGTCTTAAGAAAAGCTCTTGTGTGATTGGTTGAGCTACAAACTAAAATAGCTACTTTTTCCATGGAACAACATTTTTATTTAAAAACCTATTTAAAAATTTATTATTATTATTCAGACTCAGGGTATTGAGCAGATATTTCCCTTCCAAAAAATGAACAAAGGAGCTTGTCACTTCAAGGAAAACAACTGATAATATTTGCATCAATGCTAAAATTCTAATTTTTATCCAAAATTAGAATTGTTTAACTTGTATCCACTACCATGAACTTAGCAGATTCCCAATACTGAAGACTTTTAAGAAAGAACGTGACTTTTTAACATCGTATAATGAAATAATGTCAACATTTTAAAGCTCTGCATAACTTAGCAAAATAATATTTTCCAAATGACTAATGCATGATGTTATAAAAGCATGCATGAGTAAAAGATCTATTCAAAGTGCAAGACAGACAGGTGGATTTTAATGTAACAGAGTAAGAGAAGTTCATTGACATGGTTTCAGATTCCACAACACAACCAACATTTAAGAAGCTACCACTGTCAAGTTTTGGAGTAGTACCAAAGTGTTGGTATAAAATCAAAGAAGAATATCGATAGTGATCTAAAAGGGCTATTAAAATACTCTTCGATTTTCCAACTACACATTTGTGTGAGGCCTGAGTTTCTCCACATATTTCAACCAAAACAACATATCACAACTAATTGAATGCAGAAGCCAATATGAGAACTAGCTATCTTTTATTAAGCTAGATATTAAATATTTTAGCAAAAATATAAAGCAATGTCATTGCCACTCATCTCACTATTTTTTGTTTTGTCAGCTGCACTGATGCCAGCAGCTGGAACAGAACAGGAGACCATGCCAGCAGCTCTGGCACCCACAGGTTTGGCACATCAAGGTCTCCTGCACATCAGCAGTGCCAGCAGTGTCATAGGACTGGGCGTGGTGTGAGTTCAGCAGCAACAGGAGACAGCACCTTTGCAAATGCATCAGCACCCAAGATAATGGCATCACACAGCAACATAGAGATCAGTGACCTGAATGGCAGATGTCACACAGGGAGACAGAAAGAAAAGCATGAAGGGACTGCGTCGTGAAAACCGAGAGCCTTAATTTAGTGAATGCAGGGGGACCACTCCTAGGAATGCATTATCGCTAAGGGTAGGATGGTAAATATTTGAGATCCTGTAATAGTCAGTGGATAGAGAAATAAGAGGAATCCTGTTTGTTACTGTTATGTACTGTTATGGAGGCCTTACTTTAACTCCAGATTGGTGTGACCTAGAAAATACAGTCAGTACTATACCTCTCAGCAAATCCATCCATACGAAAGAAATCATGGTGCAGGAGCTCAGCACAAAAGGGCCTTTTGTCCGGGTCAATGTGTAAGCATTTCTGGGAAACCAAGGAATACATACAGTTCATACCAAAGAAAAACTGCCTACATTCACATTTCTAAATATAGAAAAATAGAACATTCCTCTTCACAGTCAATGAATTTTAAACAGCTATAACAAGTGATAAAAAATAAAGCACAAATCTAGACAATGACCACCAATGATTGTTAATATCATAAAAAGAAAGGCCGCCAGACGTTCAGTGTCTCTGGACAGGAATAAACCAACCTCTTATGAAACAGTCTTGCCAAATTTGAACCCGATTCTGATCAAGCTATACTATGAGTTTATATGAAATACAGGACACAGAGGAAACATTAAACTATACTATATGGAAAATTCTAAGGGACAAATAACCTATTTTCTTCAACAACTAAATGGCAAAGTTTAAACAAACAAACCAAAAAAGAGAGTGAGAAAGATTAAGAAGAGCCTGTAAATTAAGAATCTCGAAGGACATATTAACCAATTGTGATCTCTAGACTTCAGTGTGATTCTTAATTCAAACTATATAAACAAATTACGAAAAAGTTAATGAAATTTTGAGTATTGATTAGACACTTTATGACATTAAGGAATTTTTGTGAATTTTTCAAATTTAAAGCACTTGCAGAATGGAAAGGAAAGAATCTACTCTGTGCTTATTACTGCGCTGGATACTTTACATAGATGATTTTGTTTTATCTATGTTCTCTCATTTTATTATAGATTTTACTATATCTTGTTCTGATTCATTGGAGCCATCACTGTCAGTAAAAATAGAAGCTTTAAGTGAACAAGAAAACTTTACAAATTAACTAAGGTATTTATTAGTGAAATAATATAATATCTGGGATTTGCTTCAAAATTCTCCCAAAAAAACAAAAGTTGATGAGGGTGCACATAGATGAAAGATTGTCAACAGATTATTAATAGTTGTAGCTAGATGACTAGTTTGTGAGAGTTCATTATATAACTATTTTCTCTACATTCTTTTCTAGGTTTGAAATTTTTTATAACATTTAAAAAGTTATATGATTCTACCATGGGGACATTAAGTTGGACAGTAGTTTTACCTTTATTCCTTTTAAATCTCCTTGCAGACAGATCATAAAGCTAATCTCAATGAAAAATATTTGTATCTGTTAGAAGATTACGTAGAAAACTAGAAATGTATTATTCTAAGAACTTGTTATATAATTAGTTATAAGCTTACCAAGCTTTTTTTAAATGAATTATTTCAGGAATTAAAAAAGAAAAAGTATCTTGAGCAAATGCTAAGTGACCCTGCTGTTTTAGAGATACTTATTTTATCAGTGCTTTACGATAATCCTAACTCAAGAATTTTTGAGCTAGTAACTCCAAAAGGTCCATATTTAGAGATAATTTGATCCAGTGAGAGTCTCCCCAATATCCTTCTCAACCAAATACAAGGCAAAGGTGATGATTATTTAATAATTAGCTTCAGTGAATCTAGTGGTTAAGGAAAAAGCCCCTTTTTAACAGTACACTACAGGTCATGATCCTACACCCTAGACTTTAACATTTTCCTACTTCTTCACCATTCTTATTTTCTTATCCTATTTTTCTTCTCTCTTCCACTTACACATGGCCTGCAGTTTAAATGTTAAACATTAAAAACATGAGGATGTTTTCACACTTAACTAGGTAACACTAAATGGTTTCTCAAAACAAGCAAAAATATCAGGCCTATATCTCTGAAGGCTCCCCGACCCCCCCATCCCCACCAAATTAACCTCTTTCTTCTTTCTTTTTTTTTTTTGGTTTGATTTTTTTGGTGGGGAGAGTTAATTAGGTTTATTTATTTATTCGTTTATTTTTAATGAAGGTACTGGGGATTGAACCCAGGACCTCGTGCATGCTAAGTATGCACTCTGCCACTTGAGCTATACCCTCCCCCCAACCTCTTTCTTAATGTACAAACATTTAAATCATCAAAGGAAATTATTGACCTAAAAGATCAACTAGACAAGAAAAAAAGAAGAGAAAATCAAATCTCCATAAAGTAAATTCCTTGTCAGAGAGTGAAAGGAGAAAGGCATGATTACCTTTGCCAAATCTATCGCAACTTCAGAGAGCTTGGGATAGCGTCTTTCAAGAGGTTCCGTTTCCTTGATTTCAGGCAACCTGACTCCCGCAAACACAGGATTTTTATAAAACAGCTCCTGATGTCTTGGAATTAGATTACCTGGCAGTGAGAATGGCACAAATCTCTGTCATTCTGCATCATGAGATGGGTGGTGTGGAGCAGGGATAAGAGTGGGACACAGCTCGAGGAGGTGGGGCTCTCAGCACGCAAAACCCACCCAAGACAGGGCGCTTACTGTGGTGGTGGCTGGCAGTCTTTATAGGGGCTTTGACATAAGTCAACGCAAAGGAAATTAACATTCTTATCTCAACACACTCATTTAGCAGAAAACTTCACACGCCACTATGCATAGAACTGAATACACAAGAAAGCATAGGAAAAGGATAGGTTAAAAAAAATTTGTGATTGTTCAGATTGTAAGTGCCAGCACTTCATTTCTCATAACAAAGCACAAAGTGCTGATCAAAACTCAAAATATTAATAGCCATATAATCAGAATCTACTCTAGGTAAATAAGTCCCACCCTTTAAGAATCTGATTTTTGGTCAACTGACTGTTCCTGTATCTGAGATCTGACTTGAGCACTTTTATCTTTTTTCTCAACTTGAATACATAATCTAATATAAAATATATTTGAAAATTCTACTGTAAGGAACCATCATACTGTTTATTGAATTTCTAACCTGTAAACTTAAAATCTAAGAGATAAATAACCCCCAAGTAATTTCCCATTATTTCCATTTTCTAAGCTTCATCACCCAACAGAAAGCTGATACTTCAACAAACGTAAGAAGCCTTTGATAGCCTGGCTTTGAAATCCTGTCCAAAGCACAAGCAACAAAAGTCATAACTGCAGCAAGATTAAGCTACCTTGGAAGTCCCTGGGTCTCAATTTGAAGGTGAGAATGAGGGTGATATTCATATGACACCAACAGCTTGCTGACCCAGAGATAATATGATCATTTGTATTCTCTCTACATGTGATTTACTGAATATAAAAGTCCAGAGAGAACAGACGTTTGTTCTCTTCTTTAGGGGGAGTTGGACAGGGGGGCAGGTGAGAGCATGATTAGGGCCATATGTCAGACAAACGAAAGCCACACTGAGAATGAATGAATGAATGTATATATATAGAAAGAGATAGATGAGGTTTCCTATTTGTTTCCTACATCCACACAAAACACCAATCGTCTTCATTGTACCAACAGCTTATTAAATCAATACAAACAAACAAAAACATAGGGAGGAAAAATCACTAAAATTTAAAATGCACATGCATAATCTTACCTAAACACATTGTAATATGATACAGCTGATCAATGTCAGAATCTCCAGGGAACAGGGGCTCCCCCGTGAGCATTTCAGTCACCAGACAGCCAACGGCCCACACATCCACAGCCCTGAAAGAAAAGCAACGTGGTAGAAAATCTGGCATCTTAGGGTGTTTACTGTGGCTGCGTCTGTTCTGTACATTACTATTTGGTATTCTTGGCACTGACAACGGTAATAGTAAACTTTAAATTATCCCTAAAAACACATCTCCCTCTAAACGTAAAGTACTAACCTCCAATTTTACCTAAATCAGTTTTCTAGAAACTTCAATCATGTGACACAGGAAAGAAAAGGCTTCCGAAGAGTCAAAACAGTTATTAAGTGCACTTTATTCTGGAAATAAGCCTTTTGGGTTGCCATTCAGAGGCTATTCACTCTTTGTTTACAAATAATTTGAACAAGGTTCATCCGTCTCTTCCCCTGCACGCTGAGAACAGCATGCCGGAAGGAGGCGGTTGTTTGGGACACATACAGCAAAGAGAACTGAACGCTAGGAGGGAGAAAATAGAATTCGTCTTTGAAGAATTCATTTACAAAGATAATTTATGTTTTTAAAACGTTTCACTTAGTTCTGTTTCTATCCCCCACCCGTGCCCACCCTACCTTGCCTCATTTCAACAGTGTCAGACATATCCAATCAATGTTACCTCTCTTTACAAGTGATAAATATATCTATTCTTAACTTGCTATTAAAAAACAGACTACTTACTCACCTTGATTTCCTTACCTTTAAAATAATTATACTCACACCAGCCTGTTTCACAAGAATGTTTAAAGGCGGAGCACCAAAGACAGTTACAACTTTATAAAGTTCCCTAAACTGAAAACTTTCTTTCAGCATTAGAGGAGTCTTTTATCACAGTAAAAACATATTCCATTTTATCAAGAAGAGACAGTTAAATCCCCCCTCCCCACCCCGCAGCTTGCTCGTGTCTTACTTGCCATACTTGATGTCACCAACCAACAGCTCTGGAGCTCTGTACCATCGGGTTGCCACGTAATCAGTATAAACCTCCCCAGGAGCTGCCAGTGTCCGCGCAAATCCAAAATCACACAACTTGACAACGCCAGACTGGGAGACTAATATATTCTCTGGCTTTATATCTCTATGTATGATCTAAGGCAAAAAGCAGAGCATGACATATATTGGTCCATCAAGTTAAACAAATTAATTATCTTTTTGAGCATCTGTCACGTGCAGGGCACTGTTTTTATCCCTATAATGAATACAAATAAAAGCATATAAAATTGTCCCTGGCTTTAAAGAACCTGGGACCTAGTTAAGCAGGAAATAACATTTATGTTTGAAATTGTATTTAAACAATCAAAGACATCAGACGAAATATATATTATTAATTACCAAATCGATTACTCTGATAATGACTGCTCTGAAGACTAAGAGAATAAAACTACCATTGAAGACTGTGGTGGTCAGGGAAAGCTTTTGTGGGAAAGGATGGGCTCCAAGATAGGTCTTTAATACTAGTGTGACCTGGATAAAAATGTAGAAATGAAAGGGCAATCCGAGTGAAGGCAACAAAAAGAGCAACAGAGTGAAGACGGAACAGATCAGGAGATTCCAGGGAAACGTCTTTTCTGGAGTAAAGAGTAAGTACTGGGGAGAAAGGCTGCCTCAGCTGCCAGCCTGGGAAGTCTGAGCTTGCATCCAGGCCATGGGAACCCATGGAAGAGACATGACTCATATGGGGCTGAATAAACAAGATGTTGGCCTGTTTATACAGGCTAAAGCACAGAGAGAGGGACTAGAAGCAGGGAGAAGCGCAGTGGGACAACTACGAGGGGATAAGGGCCTGAATTAGTCTGGTGCACAAAGGAACAGAAGGGAAGAGATACAGTTTAGAAATACTTTAAATCAAGAATCAATAGAACTTAGGAATTAATCTCAGATATTTTACTGAAACGTGGGAATCTAAAAGAATGGTGGTTCCATAACCAAAAACAGAAAAGTTCAAGAAAGTTTAGTTTTGATGAAGAATAATGAGTAGTTTAGTTTTATTATGGGCTTTAGTAGGCAGATGTCTGAGCACCTAAGTGGCAGCATCATCAGGCAATTATAAACATAAAGAGAGTAAAACAAGGTCAGTTGGGTAAGATTTCTGCGGAGAGACTATGGAAGGAGAGAACAGGACACTGGAAGACAATACTAAAAATTCCAGAGCTAGACAAAACAAATTATTAGGCATAATTCTCTACTACAAGTAAACTGTATTTTGAAAAAGTTTTTAAATATATTTATTTTAAACTCTTTCAGAGGACCAGCACCCTAACTGGCATTGCTGAGCATTTTGCATAAGCTAGCAATTTCTATTACATCTAGACAACCCTGGTGAGGTCACAGGGCCAGCCCCACATCTACCATTAGCATTTGTTGCTTTTATAATCACACAAAAAGTATCATTAAAATATTTTGTAAAACTCGCAGAATCAATGTGTTGTGTTATCTGGTTTATACTTAATAAGTGTCATTTTACCAGAGCAGCTTCTATATGATTTTCAAAGGATATAAAATCATTGTGATAGACAACAGTGTAAAAGCGGGGATTTTCACACTTCACAACTAGGCAAGAAAATCTGAACTAACAAGTAAGTGGATCCCTGGGCGAATGCACTTGTCAAAACTCACCACTTAAAGTTAGTGTATTTCACTCAGTAAATGTTACCCCAGGGGAAAAAAAAATTCCGCAAACAAATTAAACTATTAAAGTGTTAGAGCTGAAGTGTACTGGTGTCTGCAATTGACTTTCAAGTTAAGTAAATAAGACAGATTAACAAATAGGTAAATGAATGAATAGATGAATAAATACATCATAAAATAAATGTAGCAAAATGTTACTAAGTATAGAATTCAGGTGGCAGGTGTGTGGTTGTTTATTGTATACTCTTCCAACTTTTTGATTTTTTTAAATACTTACTTAAACTAAATACTTACGTTGTGACTGTGACAAAATCCAATTCCACTGATAATCTGAAACAAATACTTTCGAACTAGTTGGTAGTCTAGTCCATTTGGAAAGAGCTCCAAGTCATCAAGAACTGTATGGTCAACAAATTCAAAGACTAGGTACCATCGCTTTTTTTTCTTACACACTTCCAACAGATTCACCAGATTTTCATGCCTCAGTTGCTGTTATTAAAAAAATGCAAAATAATTTTTACAAGATCAAATTACTAGCAATTAGTCAGTCTAAAATAGATCTTAGCATAAGAAAAACATCTAAATAAAACGCATGAACAGGACAAATTATAAAACTATATTCTGGTTTTTATAGTCAAAAGACCATAGTGCTCCATTCTCTTCTCAGAGAACACAATAAAAGCCAATGAGAAAAAAATCTTTGATGAAACTAAGCAGGATCTATGACCCCCACCTACAACAAACGAGGTGGCCCCATCAAGGTGGTACCACACAGGAGTCCAGGAAGATACCAAGAGTCATCTGTGGCTACAAAGCTGGCAAAGCAGAGTTGGTGACATACCCTGAAGAGAAAAACAACAAAAACAAAAAACCTTCTTTGATGTAATGGGAACAGGGTTCATAGACTGTCAGTGAAAGCATCCCTAGAACTGAATGGCACCAAGGAACAGCAGGGGAGGGGAGTCTGAATAATCACACAGAAACTCATTTGCTGAAGCAATCTGTCAGTGAAGCCAAACGAAAGGCAAAACAATTCATTATGAACAAGCTTGCAACTACAAGTTTCAGAGAAATTAAGAATAACATAAGTTAGTCCCACACTCAGGCTTGTATTGTAAGAAACATCATTGTGAACCACAGTGGATTCCTGCCAGCCTGGCACAAGTCCACATCTTCTCCTGAAAGTGAACCTCCTACAAACAGCTGGTCCAAGAACTCACTTCGCTATAAGATAAGAAACAATCAAAAGGGAACCAATCCAGGATCTATTCACAGATACCGAAGAAAAGAGAAGGAAACACAAATGGCAGATAATACTCAGCAGAAAATGTTGCCACATTTTTTAAAGAGGAAGAAACTACTAGAATACAGTCCTCAAAATCCTTAAGAAAAGAAAGAAACTTTATTATACCCAATGAAATTGTCATTCAACAACAAAGACAACAGAGAAAAATTTCTGAACATAAATTCATTAGTGCAGGATAAGTCTTATATGAATGTGGGTACCACAGTTACAAAATAGAAAATGAGTATTTAGAAGCTAACAATATACAAATGATATTAGTAACCAACTTAGGAGAAAGAAGACAAGATGCAAATAAAATAAGAGAATGTATGCTGATTTTCTTGTCAATGGGTCAAAATTGTATTTTTCACCTGAAATTCTTAACAAATTTAGGAGAAAGAAGACAAGATGCAAACAAAAGAGAATATATATGCTGATTTTCTTGTCATGGGTTAAAACTGTATTTTTGGCCTGGAATTTTTAATTATAAGGTCTAATTATAGGTTTAATGGTAAGCATAAAATAAATAAGGTATCTTCTAAAGTCAGATGGTGGATTAATGGGAAAGAGGAGGAAACAGAAATACAATAATCACTTTACAAAGGATTATGTATATTATATAACACTATAGTTATAAAGTATAAAATAAGGCCTTTCCGTATTAGCAAAGGAAACACATTCAATGTTTAGAAAGGAATTCAGAGGCTAAATAGAAAAATATTTTTAAGTAGCAACATAATGTTATAAATAATAATAACTAACATTTACATAGTGTTTACTATGTTCTATGGACTATTCTAAACACAAAAACCCTATAACATTGGTGCAGTTATTACCCTGTTTTACAGAAGAGGATGAAATCAAAGCACACAGAAGTTAAACAAGGTCACACAGCAATAACTGATAGAGGAGGATTAGAACCCAAGAGTCTTAGCCTCTGTCTTTTCCTGAAAACATTTCAGTTTTGTTCAGTTCCTCCTTCATGTCCGGAACATCCAACTTATAAACCAGAAGTGCAGCTGACTTGTGTGCAAAATATTTAGATGTCTTATTCTTAATGCCTAAGCTATTCTGACTCTAGAGGGGAAAAAAGAAAACTAAAATCAAACTTATCTGTTACATTATAATTATAAATGGGCTAAACTTAGCTATTAACGCAAAAGATTCCAGATTGGATCACAAAGCGCTTTCCAAATATATTACTGGTTAAGTGAACTAAAGTATATCCATATAATGAAATAAAATGCAGCAGTTAAAAAGAACAAGGCAGTTTTATGTCCACTGGTATGCAATAATCACTAAGATATATTAAGTGGAGAAAAGCAAGATGCAGGTCAGTGTGTAGGGTATGCTGCCATTAGATATGTGCACACCTACTGCTCCGTATATACCCATAAGTTTGTATATGAATATAAGTTCTCTGATGGGTATACTTACTTATGAAAGGTGTATACACACACACACACACACACACACACACACTTAGGTATGCTTATATATAAGTGAAATGACAGCAATGATACAAGAGACAGGAAGAAAGAATTAGGACTATTTTGTTATTATAAGTTACTCATACTACCTGTGAAGTGGCATAGTGTTGTCTGAAAGTGGACTTGGATTATTTGTAAATGTACTTTGCAAACTGTAGGGCAACTACCTAAAAGATATTTTGAAAGAAGTATAACTGATATGCTAAGAAAGGAGAGAAAATTAGATTATATTAAAATGCTGAATTACAACCACAAAAAGGCAGAAAGAGTAGAAGACAAAAATAGTAACAAAGAACAAGGGCAACAAATTGAAAATGGTAACAAATATGATAGACAGTAATCCAACTATACCAACAGTAACTTCGAATGTCAGTAATCTAAATGCACCAATTAAAAGACAAAAACTGTCGGACTGGATCAAAACATACTCCAAATACATGTTGTCTATAAGAAACCTACTTTAAATATAAAGACACATAAAAATTTAAAGCAATTGGATGGAGAAACTATATCATACTAAGACTAATCAAAAGAAAGCAGGAGTAGCTATGTCCATTTCAGACAGGACAGACTTCAAAGTAAGAAAAGTTATTAGGGATACAGAAGGACATAACATAATGATAAAGGGGTCAGTTCTCCAAGAAGGCATAACAATTCTAACATGTATGTGCCTAACAAGAGAGAATCAAGCTATATGAAGCAAAAACTGATAGAACCACAGGGAGAAATAATGAATCCACTATCATAATTGGAAACTTCAACATTCCTCTCTCAGAAATAGACAGAAATCATAAGGACATAGATGAATTCAGCAACACCATCAGACAACTGGATATAATTGACATCTATAGACTACTTCATCCAACAACAGCAGAAATAAGGTTTTTCTCAAGCTCATATGGAGTAGTCACCAAGATCAACCACATTGTGGGACACAGAACACACCTCAACAAATTTAAAAGACTAGAAATCATGCAGTGTCTGCTGTCAGGCCGAATGAAATTAAATTGGAAATCAATAACATAAAGATAATTGGAAAATCTCTAAATATGTGGAGATTGAACAAGATTAAATTAAAACACAGACCACCAGTTCCACATTCTGCCCCTGCCCCTCTCCCTCTATCTGTCCACTTATATTTTTAAAAGCAGATGACTGCCACATTTGGTAATGGCAGGCTAGGTAACTCAGACCAACCCTCTTATTGAGAATTTGTAAAAAGTTGTACAAAATATCTTAAAATCTTCTTAAACATAAAGAAGATTTAAGAAGATGGTGAGGAATTACTGGGCCAAAACCAGGAAGAGGAGAACTCAGAAACAATCTCAGGACTCAAAGCTGATTTTGCAGTGAATAAAGTGACAGATTTGAAACTGAGCTTGGATTTTTGTGGCCTCTTGGAACTAAGAGGGAAAGAAAAGTCATATCTAAATGCCTTGCAAAGGTGGGTTCTCTGAGAAATCAGCCCTAAAAGTAGTATCTACTCTGCATTTGTTATTTTTTTTAAATATCCCTTGGACTCCTTTTATCCCTCTTAGTAATTAACCACCTTTACTAGTTAACAATTATTTACATTAAAATGTTCCCTGTCCTGGCAGAGGCACACTACCAGCCCAGGACCTCCTTAATTTTAAAGTTCTTTGCTTACAGTATCTTATTTTCTTGTGCTCTTCATTATTATTTGTATTGGATATTGTTTTTGGAAATTTAGTTGCAGAAATATTTTGAGGCTAAGATAGTTATCTTCCTCCAGAGAAGATACAAATTTGCCTCTGCCATGTGCATGGGATGCTCCCAGTCTAATATGCTAATCCAAATTCAAACTATTTATAGACTTTTTAGAAATTAACACAGGCAATAACAGCTAATAAACTGAGCTATTAATCATAAAAAAATTAATACAGGTATATCAAGAGATAAGACTTGATCAAAAACCAAGAGGAAAAACAGACAATGGAAATAAATTCATGGGAGATCTAGAAAATAGTTGTCGGATACAGACTTCAGAAGAAAAGCCTGTAATTTCAATAGTCAAAAAAGCAGAATAGAGAGTTTGGTAGCAAACTGGAAACTATAAGAAAAAAGTCTAATGGAAATACTAGAGCAGAAAAATATACCTTTAATTAAGAAACCAGTGGTTGAATTTAACAGTAGATTAGATACAGCTGAAACAGAACAGCTGAATTGGAGGACAGGTCAAAGGAAAATCTGTAGAATGAAGTAAAGAAAAATAAACAGATGAAAACACAGAAAAGAGTATAGGAGACATATGGGGGAGGTCTAATATATGAAACAACTCTTAAATGGAGAAGAGAAAGAATGGGACAGTAGCAATATGTGCAACAATAATAGCTGAGCATTTTCTAAAAGTGACAAATGACATTATTTTACAGACACAAGAGTCATAAAATCCAAGCAAGATAAATACAAAGGAACCCAGACCAAGGTGCATTATTGTAAAATTGATGAAAGCCAAGATCAAAGGGAAAGCTTAACTGCATCCAGAAGAAAAATAGACACACTAAGGAATGTCCGACCTTTCAATAGAAGCAATGAAAGCCAGAGGAACAGTGAAATGATGTCTTGAACATACTGAGTAATGCCAACTTAGAATTCTATATCCTTGAAAACAATCTTTTAAACAGAAAGTAAAGACTTTTTTTTGAAAGACAAACACAAATGGACAGTATTCCTTACCAGCAGATCTGCTTTAAAGAAAATAAAGGATATGTTTTAAGTACAAGGAAAATGATCCCAGATGGAAGCCCAGAAACAGGAATAATTGGTAAGTTAATGGAAGGGGCAGGTATTAGGTATTAGGTATTTATTCAAAAGGAATAAAATCTTACACAGTACATACTCACATCACAGGGCAATCATGTCAAAAGCAAATAACCAGGGGAGGAAAGGCTAGAAATTGTCCACATGTTTGGAAATTAAGGAAAATGAGGAAATATTTTGAACTGCTAATCAAAATTTCTCAGATACACAGCTGTCCTTAGACAGAAGGTTATAGCCTTAAATGCATATATGAGAAAAAAAAACACCCTAAAAATTAAAGAAATAACTTTAGAAAAAGAACTGTAAAATAAACCCACCCCAAATCAGTATAAGGTATAAAATACTGAAAAACAAAAATTAATGAAATAGAAAAGAAATATACAATATGAAAGATCAACAAAGCCAAACATTGGTTCTTTCTAAAAATAAATAAAATTGATAAATTTCTGGTTCTTCTGGTTCAACTGGGAGTTAACATAGCAGGCCTGAGACTCTTACCCTTAGAAAGGTTGGCTTGCAAAGTGAATCCTTGGCTGGTACCCGGAAACTTGGATTTCAAGAGGGTTCCCTTCATTTCCAGAACAGATAAAGTAGCTCACTGTGCAAACAATATGGTTTATACTGAAAACATGCATTTCTTCTGAGAGTCTGGAATTTCTACATGAGCCAGGCAGAGGGTGCCTGTGTAACCAGCCCCTGATAAAAAAATCTCTGGACACTGAGTCTCCAGTGAATTCCCTTGGTAGACAATATTTTACACATGTTGTCATAGCTCATTGCTGGAAGAAACAGTGCATCCCGTGTGACTCCACTGGAAGCTTTTGACAGGTTTCCTCTAGAGTTCACCCCATGTGCCTTTTCCCTTTGCTGATTTTGCTTTATGTCCTTTCACTATGATAAATCATAGCCTAGAATACAACTATTTGCTAAGTGCTGTGAGCCTTCCTGGTGAATCATCGAATCTGGGGGTGGTTTTCGGAACCCCTAAAACAGTTGTTGCTGTATAGACAGATAGAGGATGGATAGATAGACAGACGGACAGACAGACAGGCAGACATAGAGAAAAGCAACAAATACTTTTAAAATCATGTTTATATTCATGAGATAAAAGAATATGCATATGCAATCTTATTTGTTTTTTGCCAAAAAAATTATACTTTAAATCTAGTTATGGAAACAAAACAAATATAAAAATAGAACTTTTTTTCTAAAAATAATGGTCGATCAAGAAACAACTCATTTTTTTCAATTCAATATATATATGTACTCACCTTTAGTAACTTGATTTCTCGCATAGCAATCTTTTTAACCATTTTGTCATCATCACTTTCTAAGAACTTCTTGATGGCCACAATTCTTCCACTATCCTTATTCCTACACTTCATTACCATTCCATAGCTCCCTTCTCCAACCAGTCCTAGGTTCTCATATTTTTCCATTTTAATTGAAAACCAGTAGGAATTTTTCTTGCTGTAAAAACTAAAACATAGAATCAATTATGTTGAGTATATTAGTTTCCTCCACCCTCCCAAACTGATTCTTGCCCACCTGTTTTTCATATTAGGGCAGTCACTGCATTGCATCAATTGCTGCCCTGTGTATTGTTCTGCATAGAAATTATGTTTTCCAAATATTCACATGTATTTCATAATAGACAAGGCAAATGGAATTGAAGCCATTAACTTTAACTTAATAAATGTCATGTTAATGAAATTTCAATATATTTTTAAAGATAAAGCAATACTTGAACTATTATACAAAACAATTACAGTTTACTTTAGAAAAACAATTCCTTTTCACTCAAAGGTGAAAAAGGCACAAGTGAATTTGGTTTTAGTGAAGACAAAATTTATTTTTTTACATCAGGTTTAAAAGATCAAAACTGAGGCTCTTTATGCACTTTCTGGTCAATTGGGAAAATATTTGTTCAAAAAAGATTACTCACCAAGTTAACACTAACAACTTTTGATAAACTATTTTTCTTTACTTTTCTCACCATAGTAATTAAATTTCTATATTGAACATATAAAATAACAATGACATCACAGTATGTAAGCATATTTTTAAATATTAAATATCAGTATCAAATACAGTTATTTCAAAAATCCTTTTAATGATTAATCACTACAAGTCTGATTATTTGAATTTTGTGTTTAGAATTCTTTTACAATGCCATTATATGGCATTTTCTTGATAAAGGCAATCCTAATGAAATCTGTCTCACTTTACTAATGATTGGTGACAGTCCAGCAGACATCACACTACATATTTTGGATCAGAAAGAAACTTCAACCAAATACAGTTAGATCTCAATTCATAAGGTTTGATTGCCATGAAATATAAAAACTAATAAACTACAACTTCAAAGTTAAATTTATTTTTAATCTGATTTTGAAATTAACTCCCAGAAGCAAAGAATGAAAAATATGGCTGTTAATCCCAACGTGGTTCTAAAAGTTTGGGGAGGGAAAAAAACGTCTTTTGGTAACTATATATTTGAATGAAGATTCATAGTTGAATTTTTCTTAACCTGACAATATAAAAACACTCATTCATAAAACTTGGACAGGAAAAAAAATCTTGCCATCAGTTGTGTACTTGTCAACACCAACTCCAATGATTTCATTATTTTACTACCACTTGTTATAGTAAGTTCTACTATAAACTGTTTATAGTGTCCCTGACACTAACTCTCCATATATTTGACATTTTAACTTCCATTTAAACTCTATTAACTATTTTTAAATAAAATGTCAATGTTTTAAAAAAAAAAACTCAATGTAATTCTGTCTCTCTTTTCCTTCATTTTTTTTTTCCTTCCACTAAGACAACATATTTTATTAAGGACTAGACGTTTAGGCTTATCATACCAAGGACAAAAATAGCTGTAATCTATAACCTGGATCATTTAAAAACATTTGTAGCTATGTCCTCAATATTTGAAAATGCACTGTGAACAAAATTAACATTACCTTAAGCAGGTCTAAGAGAGTCTGAAGAATGTCACAAGCTAACATTCTGCCAGTTGACTACTCCAAGTGTGTTCTCCAATCCAACTGCATGTTTGGTCACACCTGTATTTTCAAGTGGCACTGCCCACAAATACCTTAAAAGTATCACAGCTTAAAAAGCCTCTTGTTTCCTGAAACAGTTACTCATAAACTGTAACTCCTCATGCCTTCTACTCCTGAATTAAGGGTAATACAAACTAAAAGGAAACCTGGCCAATTGTAATGCGGTAGTTCTGGATGTGGGCCATGTGAGCATATGGTTCTCATACCAATATTTAGGTAATAAAAAATGCTTTTTTTTATTTTGTTAAAGACAGACTGAGATCTATTACATAGTAAAGAATGAGATAATAGAAGCTTTAAAAAGTAGTTATACTTACTTACTGTTGCTTTTAAATCCTTTCGCGTGGAAAGACCCAAAGGTTTTCAACTTGGGAACAAATTTCAGGTGAAATGCATCTCGCTTGTAGGTCTAAAAGATGCTGACTAGCAAACTAGCAATTCTACTGTTGTCGTGATTTCTTCTGCAGGCACAGTCTCGGGTCCCAGGTGAAGCAGGCAGGGAGGCAGATTGGCCTCGACCCGCCGCAAGCTCACACTCCGGAGGACCGCGGGCCACATGCTGCCGTCGTCAAGGCAACGACCTCACTCTGTCCCCAACCATAGGGACAAAGTCTCCAGAGAGATACGGCCGGGGTTAAAATGCGTCCACGGCAGGCACAACACCTGTTAAGGCCAAGGCCTGTACGGATAATACCTGGGGTGAGAGGGCACCGCCTCCCAGCTTGTACGGTGCCCAGTCCCAGGAGCCTGTGAATCTGCTCAGCTCTCGCTAGCCCTGGGCAAAGGCGTTGGCCACCGAGCTGCAAGGGGGCGGGTCCTCACCCTCCCAGGCCCGCCCTGAGTGCGCCAAACTTCCCGTGTTCTGATTGGCCGGACCCTGTCGTCACGAGCTATGATTGGCTTACTGCCAACCACCCTGCCGGTTCACCTGGGGCCCTGCTCAGGTTCTCATCACTGATGCGCAGACGCCAGCATTAGCATACAGCTGCGCTTTCAAGTAAGGAAGCATCTTTCGCCGGGAGGCCTCTCCTTATGTCTGAGGCCAAGAGGAGATTCTAGTGCTCAGGGAAAGGCTCAAAGTGGTGGTGATGGTTTTATAGGATTGGGAGAAAATGAGAGGGGGAGACTGTGCAAAGAACGCGATGAAGCGTACTCAAGCTTCCCTGCTGAGCCGGGGAGTGGGCTCCTCAGACGAGAAGGTTCTGGCCCGACCGCTATTCGACGCTTCCTTTCCCGTCCGGGCAGTGGAGCCAGTCTGGGCCAGGTAGGAGATGAGGGTGACAGTCTAAGAGGTGATGATAAGTAGGCGAGGCAAGGTGAAAGTAGTAGGTGACAACAGAACTGACTTTAGGAGGGACTTGGGGAAGACGGCCTAGGCACTGAACATGAGGGAGCCACTTAGGAGATAATGGAAGGAGAAGAGAGAATATGAAAGAAATAAGAGAAAAAGGGCTAGGATAGGTGGGGAACTAGTACACATGAGCAGTACTTTGGTCTTTTGACAGCCAAAATTGGGTGCAATTGCGTGGTGCGATGTTTAAGGCAGAGACTAACTCAATCCATGACCAGGCAAGACTGGTAGGTCAGAATCATGCACATCTGAAATCACACAAGAAACAGAGCTTTCTTCATTTTCAAGGAATTTGAGGGTTACACCATACCCCTGCAGTGAAGAGACCTTAAGCACTCAATTATTTTCACGTCAAATTATGAAAACTAAACATTTTATAATAGTATTTGGTTTCCATAATACCTTGATCCAGTTAAAAGTGCCCTGGATAGCAGATACTTATACCTATATTCAATATTTAGGTATTAATTCCTTCTTGTACACAAAGAAATAAACATTCTGGTTTTTAAACAAACTTTTGTGAGTTTGCTTAGAATGAATTAATCTTCCAGTGCTTGATCACCTTGGTCAAGCTGCTTAAAATCTAGTTCCTGAAACTAATGAGGACCAGACCTGAGACCTGGCTATGGAAAGAATATAATTCTTTAGTCAATACAAGATGTAATTAGCTCTATCCTTAGCTGTGACCAAGTGGAGGGAGCTATGCCCCTTTTTTTACCTCTGTAGGCTAATCTGATGAACTTCTTTCATATGAGAAGCAGATTCCCTTTAAAGTGGCAAATCCGGGTTTTGTTGGGCCTGAAGCTTGAGAACAAGAATGCAAAAATATTTTACTTTTGTAACTTTACAAAAATATTCAACAACATAAACATTTTAAAGGTAACTTTAAGCAAGAGGCCCTGAAGCTTAAAATAACCTGTTTATATCCCACAGGCAACTGAAAGTTTATCCTTTGGTGACTAGGTAATGCTGGAGAAAACAATTTCTTAAGAATCGAGCTTGAAAGCCAACTGTAAAGGAGACATAGGGTATTCAAGAATTAAACATCCTGGGCAAAGTCATCTATGTGTTTGCTGAAGAGGAGGCAGCATTATGCAGAAGCAGGATTGGGTTATTGTTATTTTTTCTTTTTAAACAGGAAAATCTTTGTAAGGAAGAAGAATGGAGAGAGAAGCTTTAAAGAGGCAAAAAAAAAAAGGAATAATTAATGAAAAACCAAGAAAAGCAGTGAAGAGGAGGTAATAAAATATGAAAAGGGCCTAGCCTTGAAGAGGTTTAGAGGAAAGAAGAAAAACAGAAAAACATAGGACAAACACATTAGCTCGTTTAGATCTTCTCAGTTAAAAAATAAAAACCTATTCACTTGGGACTCAATTGAAGTGATGCCTGTGATCAATCGTGGGCCATAAGTGAAAGATGGTTTGTTTCTTTTTTTTTAATTTTGGGGCAATAATCTGACCCAAGCACATTGTTTTGAGATGTCAAAATATGTAGAGAATGACTGTTGCCAAGAGTTATTTAACAGCGATGATTGCTAAAGTGAGGAAGAGAACTGGGCTACTCTAAGGGCTCAGTCCTTAGCCTCTTCTTTTGTACACTCTCCTCCTAGATGATCTCATTTAACCCAATAGCTGCAAAGACCTATTCTGACCAGTCATAGCATGGAGCTCTCCTCAGAATTCCCAAATCATACTATCTGACATTTCTTCTTGGATATCTATTGGCATAGTAAACTTAACATGGATAAAAGAGAACTGTTGACTTTCCCTTCACATTCCACTCCTGCTCCTCTCTCTCAGAATATTGCCTTCTACCCAAGTTGCATAAAAATCCCAGGAGTCATCCTTGAATCCCTTCTTTCCTTCACATTCAAAATCCAATCCATAAAAAAGTCTTGTAGGTTGTATCTCAGATTATCTAATTAAGACTGTTCATCATTGTCTTCACTGCTACAACCCTAATCCAAGCCACCATCACCATCACCCAACATCTCTTCCTGACAGGCTCCTCGCTAATTCAGATCACATCACTTTCT